CACTCCTAATGGGCCCCCGCCAGGCGATGCTGGTCGCACCCTGCCCGCCACCTTCTCCGCCTCCCTCTCTGCCCCGCCAAGCCGGCGGTGAAACGTGCTGGGCCCCGGAGAGGCCTCGGCCCGACGCCCGCGAGCGCCTTTCAAAAGTGTCATTCCCAATCGCGTCACTCGCCATTTCCACGGCGCTTGCCTAATCGCAGAGCGCTGAGAGCCCGCTGACGCCCCATGACAGGGCTTGAGCGCTGAAGGTGGGATCGACGTGGATTCGGGTGCTAAGGTCACCAGGCGTCCTCATGGCTCTCAGTCGCTGGCTGACCTTGGAGGTGACCAGCCTCCAAAGATGCTGCAGTTTTTATGCTTAAATTTCCCGGAAGATGCCTTTGCTCCAAAGTATCTCAGACTTCATCGGACTGACTAGCTCCGCTCATGCTTGAGCCCCTCAGGCCTCAGAGCACGCTTGCTGAGTCAACTTCCACATAAAAATTCAGTTGTGGCTGCTGTTTTCTCCTCAAGGGCTTGATAAGTCTTCTCTTTAATACAAAAATCTCACTGCTTGAAGCATTCCCGAGGTGGAGGACCTGGCTTGCTTATCTCTGTGCAACAAGGATTTTAACTCCCATCTTTTACTTGCCACGTAAGCATCCTGGTGCGCAGCCCAGGGGGGCATGGAAGGAAATAAAGCAAACGCTTTCTATCCCTTCTGTTGAAGCTGTTCTGTACTCCGAAAAAATTAAAAATGCATTAGATCAGAGAGAGGGAATTAGTCTGTAACCTAGTGGTTATGGCCCTCCGTTGGGAAGACAAAAGATGGCTTTATGTTCCTGTGTTGCAGAACTGTTTATATATTTTACATCCATAAATCCAAAAATAAGCACGGACTTAAGCCCAGGGTGCCTTCTCCCAGTGAAGAGGCGCTGACTTAATCTGTCCCTTTGGGCAAATTTTTTACAAAAACTGTGCAAGGCTCAAAAGAAGGGGATGGAGCACTCCCCTCCTTCTCTGTGCCCCTAGACTAGTCCACAGATAGGCTCTTAGGCTCACAGAAGATTCCCTGAAGGAGAAAAATTAATTGTTACTTTATCTTCAGCGTCCTGGAGGAGTTCTTTAGTGGTGAAACTATTGCGTAAAGCAGAGACAGGGGTCTTCTGGTTAGGCTTCCTGTTTCCTCAGTTTTTTTGAAAGAAAAATGACCACCTAAGACCTTCAAGAGAACCGCTACTTGAAGAAGTAACATCTTTAAAATACCTGAGCACCAGAGAGATTCAGAGCTTAATGTACAACTCTGTCCTCAGCACTTTTCTAACAGCTTGTTCAGTTTTTGTGGATCTCATTCTAAGACACTTAATTCCCTCCACGTATTTATTCAATGTCGAGCTTAGGAACTTAAGTAAGAACTGTCATTTCTCAGATGCAAGTTCCTGAAAATTGAGCACCACCACAGTGAGTAGTTCACCTTTTTAGTCCATTGGTTTTGAAAATCTCTGATCTTATTAAGATACAACAGACACAGTGATATTAGTAATTATTATTATACTTGGTTGCAGAATGGAAAATAATATTTACAAATTCTGATATCCTTGCATTAAAATTCTGGTTTTTAAACCACTTCTGAGGTAGGACAACAACGAAATTAAATGTTCATGACAGTCTTAAGTTATTATTCTTTGATATGAAAAAACAAGAGATCTCAAAGATTACAGCTAGAAAAGACTACTGTGGTCTCTGGGCCCATTCTCTGACAAAGCAGGATTATTCTTCAACATTCTGCAGTGCTGTTTAGTCCAGTTCATTTTAAATGTCTCGGGTAATGGGGCTTCTACTGCTTCCCCAAGGAGACTTCACTTGGGAAGTCGAGTTCCTCCAGTTATGTGGAGGTTTTTTCTGACAATCACGTTAATGGAAAATTTCTTATGTTTAAGCTCGTTACTTCTGGCTATAGTGCCCAGCGTTCACATACATAATTTATTTCTCCCATTGGTGTTTACATTTCTCTGACATGTATTATTTACATCTAGCCTAAGTGTGCAAAATACTTTGCAGATGTTCAGGATAGAATCCTCACTCTTATTAGGTTACACTTTAAAATGAAAAGATGAACACAAACCAAACGAAGGTTAAAAAGGAAACAATACAGTAATAAATACAGAAATAATCAGTAATAAAGTATAAATCTAACAGGCAAGAATCTTTTAAAATCTGTGGTGTTTTTTTTTTTTTTTCAATTTACAGTGCTGTGTTTGACGTCAAGGTACAACACAGTGTAGTATGGTCTGTTTGCCTTCGTCAGTCACACTTGCCATCTTTTTCTTTTTAAAGCACGTTAAAAGAGCCTTCTCCTTTGCCTTTTTTATGTGTTTGTCCATACCCTAAATTAAACCAGTGCAATTCTAAACAGAAACAAAGCCTGTGTAAATTGTTTCGATGGATATATAGCCTTCGTAGTAAAAGAACTCCACTGTTTTTTTCCAGTATGAATTTGTCTTTCTTTCTTGCACAGATTTTGGAACTTTATGTATTTCCAAAGCCCTCCAAAATAATACGTACTTATTAAATCATGGTATAGTCACTTAAGCTTCCTTCGGATGACCTAAGTAACTTGGGCTCTATATCTTTATCACTGTTAATTAGGTATTTCAGATCTAACAGTATTCTAGTAGAGCTTTTCAGAACATTTCTTGTCTTCCAGCACCTTTTAGAAATCTGTGCAGTAGGACTGGGTACCGTTACATCACCACCCAGTGTTAAAGGTTGCACCAACTGCCTTGAAAGATCATTCCGGGAGCTTCTCTTTAGTTGGCTAACCGCTATGAGCCGTAAATCCTTTTCAGAGTCACTGCTTTCCAGGACACTGTCTCCAATCTTCTAAACGTGACCTACATTCTCTGCTCCTGCTGAGTGACCCTGCATTCAGCCGTCTCAAAAAGCATGTTCAAATAACCCTGGCTTACTAAAGGATGTCGATTTCCCCATGGAAAACCTGCTTTGTCTTTGTATGATGTAGTGCTCTATGGATTTCATGCCATCTGCAAATTTTACCATTAATGCTGTTAAATATTCCTTCAGATCCCTGATAAACTTATGTAGGAGCAGAGGACAGCATTTTCCAAGATGTAAGCACTTGATCCCCAAGGCAAGAGTACTGAGGGTGTGTTTAGAGCTCATTCCACTTCATGTCAGAGAAGCATTCAGCTCTCAGGATGCCAAACCAGGCCAAGGGAACCGGTGCGAGCATTGCCACGCGTGCCCGTTTCCACAAGCAGCCTGTGCCAGGTCTCAGCGGGTATCGGAGCGACTGAAGCTGCACCAAGCAGCTGGATTTGCAGAGGGCACCACAGAGGCCGTGGGGCGGGGTGGCGTAGTCCTATACAGAGACACGAGAAAAACTCGCAGATGAAAAAGAACAGAACTCTATGGATTCTTCAAGAGTTACCCAAGGGACAATGATTAGCTATTTACAATTACTTTTGGAGATCTATCAGTTAGCCTGTTTTTAATTAATTACTATATGTTACACTGATTTTGTATAACACTAATCACTTAATTAGATTGATGTACTGCTGTGTATCTGTTGCTTTATAGGATCATATGTCGATGCAGTCACCTTTTTCAATCATATTCAACAATCTCATCCAGAAAGCTATCAAGTTTGAAATGCTCACTGGCACTAATCATCTTCTGTATTGCTTACATCACATAGCAGGACTTAAATTATTTTACCTGCTACTGATTCCAGAATAGATATAATCTAGAATGAGATAATCAAGATCATCTTCTTTGTGTCGTCCAAATACTAGCATAATAATGACTTTATCCAAGTTCCTCAATATTCTTTGGTTTCTTAAATAGCAACATTAATTGCCCAGATAGCCCAGTAATAACTTGTTTAGATTACATTAAATTACTTTTATATTAATTTTTTTAATTATTTACAGATTATTTTGGAAAAAAAACATATAACATTCAGCGCTAGGATGGGACTGCATCATGCAGAAGTATGCATTGAATACTTCTGTCTTTTCTGCATTGTTATTGACAATTTCAACTTTTTACGTCTAAAATCAGGCTTATAACTTTGCTAGGATTTATATTGTTCCCAACACTTTTTTTGAAATTCCTCTTTGTCCTTAATGTTTCTAGCTGTAAAATTTCTCACTGATGATTTCTTATATATCAGTTGTCTGTATTTTACTTCTCCAGACTTGCGATAATGAGAAAATATAATAAAATTTTTACTATATTTTCTCTTCCTCTATATTTGTAATGAAGATCTCTTTAACCAAAGACTAACTGTGCTAACTGCACAACTGGATTTTTGATTCCACTAGAAAAAATTATCTCCCCTCAATAATCATTCATATTTTGAGGCTCTCTTTCTCTCTTTTGTTCTGTCTATAACTGATTTCTTCAAGAAATTAATCCTTTCAAAAACATACTGGTCAAGACTGAATGTTGTTTGCATGCAACAGATGTGATGACATGCTGATCAGTGGACAAACATTTTTAAAATTATTTTTACACATCTGTCCCCTGGGATGAGGACCCACTGTAAAGGTGACCTGAGTTGAATGTAAAATCACTTTTTGCGTCGGAAAGTTATGATCTTTCACTTTTTGATACTCTGTGGATATTTTCATCATGTCAACATAAAACTTCCATCATGGTTTGTCAGACTTAATGTCTTCTATTTTTTTGTCTTTCAGCTATTGTAAGTGCATGTTTAAAGAGCTGCTTGCCCCATTTGATTTGGTATTGGTTAACAGCCTGAGCCTAAAACCCTATCATTTGGGATTATCAATTAGAAATGGACTATGCAGCTGGCAGGCTAAATGCTACCTATTAAACAACTCCATCCATCTCCAAAGTATTCTCCATCCTCATATATTGTAGCAATACACATATTTGAGTAAGCTGTTACTATAATCTTTCTCCTTTCCAGGTTGTCAGGAAACTGAATTAGAGCATTTCTGAAGTGCAGGATCTGAGTGGTCCTTAGTTCAAACTGATTAGTTCAAACTGCTAACCTTTGGCAGAAACATTTTAAATAATTTTGAATGTGTATATTCACAATAACCTCGGCCCAAGTCTCAATAGTATTGACATGCTCTAAGCTGAGCATCTGGGGACCAACTGTCTATTTCATTATGAAGGGAAGCTTAAATGTTTTATGAATATAAATGCACAGACTGTGCACAGTTTTTTGAACTACTTCAGAATAGCGTATGTGGTAAATTCATTTACCACTGTTTTAAAAATAGGTTAGTGAGGTTAGGATTGGGACACATTTTTTACAAATCAGTTTTTTAAAAGGGTCTGCTTCCCCAGAGGATTTGGAGAGTGAAATTCTGTGCTAACGAGTGCCTCTTCTGGAGTAACTCTCCAAATAGCTTTTCTGCCATGGGGGTCTTGTGAGTCAGAGGAGGGTTAGAACATCACAGTAGCTGAGGCAGGATTTTGCGAAGGGGAGGGAGGGATAGACCCTACCTCATTATTAGGAAAGTAATTAGCCAGTGTCCCAAATCACTAAAGGATGTGTGAGGGCAGCAGAAAGAAAACAACAGGGGGAAATCTCAGGTCATTCAAAGAGAAGAAATGCGGGAAGATGTCAGTGATTGGGCAAGGAATTGCAAATTCTCCCTTCATGGGAGAAGTTTCTGCCTCTTCTGGATGCCTTTTTCGCCTTCCACGCCTTCCTGTGATGGCCAGAATCAGGTCTTTGGGGTAGCATATGTTGTTTCTGTCTGAGTGAGGCTTTGCGTGTGATCCTCTCACCTGCAGTTAATCTCCAGGTTAGGAATATGGCGCACAGGCTGTTGCGTTAACTAGACTATCACCTCTCTCTTCATGCAGGTTTTGCGATATGGAGGGATCTTGGCCTACTGATTATGTGGTCTGAAAAGGCTCCTTTCCTCGTGGTCCTTCCGCTTGACCACCACAGGGCTAAGCACATCACCAGGTAGGACTGATTATATGATATTTAACTGAAGATTCATCTACATTATGGTTGAGATAGAATGTCCAATTCTCATTAATTTAGAGGAGATTCAACCTCCAAATTACCATGTTCATCTTAAAGATTTCAGCCTGGCTGTCTAATCCTGTTAGTGCACAGATTAATAGTAAGTATTATTTTAAGGTGCTGAGCTGAGGAGCAAATAATTTTATCCCTAAATTATTTAAAATGCATGATCTAGAAAAGCACTCTTTAATAATGTCTCTGTTGATGCTAATTCAAGTGTGTTTAGCCACCTGAAGTTCATGCTGTAAGTTTCATCAGGATGAAAGGTGAACAAAACGATCACAGCTATTGATCCCAAATACCTTATCACAAAAGAAAATTGAAGGAAGCAATAGTTTCATGTCTTATAAGGTGGAGCGTTTTCATTAGCAACGATACCGTAAAAGTAGTTCTAACTCTTGTGGCAACATGGTTCAAGATAAAATTGGATCAAAGTATAAAATATTCCCACAGTCATCACTGATTGTCTCAGTACTGCACAGATAATCAAAATAATATACACAGAGGAAAAAAAGTTGGTTAGAGAATCTCTCTGAGGTGTGATGCATATAAAGTAAACAGCTACTACATGGAGAAGGCAGGTAATCATGACTGACAGCCTTCTCCCCTTCCTCCAGAGAACGAACTTAAATGTCTAAAACAGGACTCAGACTTAAGATGCCTAAGTACAAAACTGAAATCTATCTAATACCCTACGCTCCCAGGTAGTTCCAGATACCTGCAGTGCTACTTCACTAAGCTAGAATTGCTCCAAGGTGCATTAATGACCTTGAAAACTCTTAAACCAGTTCTTTTAAAACTTCTAAATGATGATGATCCGGAATGATTAAAAACTAAATATCTTTAGGAGATGCTATTTAGCATTACTCCTCAGAAAAGGTAAGGCAAAAGTTCTGGTCTGGGGAAGATAAGATGTTTTCTGAAATTCTTGAAACTCTGAGGATGTCGGCTCAATCCTTTGATAAGTAATAGAGTCATCCTTATCTATACAGTAACTATGTTTTTGTGGGAAACTAATGAGTCCTACAAGAGAAGAGGGTAGCTGTCAGTTTTGCGTCACCAGCTAGCTGTCTTTCTGCTTGTGTATATGGTTACATGCGAAAAGCTTAGGTGTAATCGACATGAAATACATTCATATGTAACTTTAAACATGAATTTTGATGGAAAAAAGAGGCTGTTTCCATTATTATCCTGAAAGAATACAAATCTTAAGATTACATTCAAACCATTGTTGATAGGAAGAAAAACAGTATTAAGCAAGTTAATCCATGTACTCTTAGATGGTAACAAAATGAAATATAATTTGCCATGAAAGTGGAATCCAGGGTCCTCTGTTTTGAAGAACTAATTAATTCTGCTTTAGCATAGGAAAGTGTAGTGTAACGAAACCCTTGAAATTTTATGAAGGGCTGATTTGCATGGTTTTACATAGACCTTACAGAATTACATCTCTTTATAGCTTTAAAATAAAGAATAAATAAAATGATGCATTATTTAAGTTTGTGGAGGTTCAGTAAAACAAGTTAATGTGGAAAAACAGCATTTGTTAAGTGATGATATTGCAATAGATATTGACATTAAAATCTCTTTTCCTTCTTCCCTTTCAGACCCTCCTAGTCCCCTCTAAGACCTAGAGGGGACTACCTTCAAACAATTATTTTTTGTTTCCTCAGCTTAATTTTATCAAGGTTATTACATTTAGAATTATCTGAACATCAGAAAACCAAATTTTGAGTTTCAAACGTGGCTGTGATTTTTGCTGCTCTGGAATGCCACTGTGAAAGAAATTAGAGGTTAAATGGAGATGTGGAACTACTAGCACATCTGAAGCTTTTGTAGAAGTTAGTTTCAACCACTGTTCAATCTTATTGCACAATTATCAGAACACTATAAAGTCTTTTCTGTTCTTTCTTATGTCAGGCTGCTTTTCGAATATTTCTAACTCTTGGTTAGAATTCCCTTGTCACTGGTCTTTCACAGCAATGTCAGTATTTATTTCCACTGTAAAGCAAGGTTCCCTTGTAAAGCAAGGTGAAGAACTTAAAACAGTCATTTCTCACTCCAATAACACTGCTGTCTGGTGTGATGATAACATCTCAGTTTTCTACGTGACAAGTTATTTTGGGAGTTGAAGAGTGACCAGTGTCATGGTTGCAGGGAAAGCTTCAGCTAAATCTTTTTTTCAGTCACTCTGAGCATCTTTATCCTTCAATCGGCCTCAGAGCTCAAGTACTCCATTTATCATCCATGACTGACTTACCCAACAAATTTGAATGAGTTTGATTACCTTTGGGCTTCTGTATCCAGTATACCTGTCTCAAGTGCCACACAGTGAAACAAAGACTGTAACTGGATCCTGTCTCTCGCTCCTCTTTAGCTCTATCTTACCTCATGCGTTTATGAAGTGTAGCACTCTGACTGCTCTCCTGGTCTGTGACTATCATATTTCTGAGATGATATTCTAGCCCTGCAGTTCCCTCCCTCCCTCCTCTCAATACAAGGTGCCAGACACATCTCACAGCACACACCAATCTGTGGTGCTCTCTCATGCACTGGAAAAAAAGATAATTAAGCAGTGTATAAAGATGTGCCGTCCTTATTAAAAGCAAAGTACTTTGCAGGAGGAGCAAACCTTTTGAAAGAAATATTTTAAAACAATCTAAAGGTGTATTTATTTTACTTGGAGCCCTACCATTTTGTAATGATCATCTGTGAAGCCTTAGGCTGAAACTCAAGCTTCAGCTGTTCTGGTCTTTCCTGCTTAGTAGGAGTCTTCAGAGCCTAGAGCTCTGGACACTGGCTCTTAACAGTTTGTGTTTGTTAGCATACCTATACTGAGCAATTTTCTTCTTTCCTACCTGCTTCCTCTGGCAAACTGCTGCCAGGTTCGCCCTCGGAGAGCAAGCATCTCATTAACCAAGCCAACATACATAATCTCTCTCAGAACAGCACTAAATTTAACATGATCATTATAAATGCTGTTAGGGATTCATCTCGTAGACCTGCTACCATTCCGCTGTCTACAAAACAAAAGACTAGAACACAGTTTTAATTGTGTCAAATAATTATGAGTTACAATCAGAGTCTCTTAGGATGCATTTACCTGAGAAAGTGAAGGGGCACATGGAAAGGGGAGGGAATTAAAATGAAGCTGTTAATAAAGCTGAAATTTTCCTTACTATGCACGTTACCATGTCAACATGAGTTATGCAGCATCACATTTAAGATCTATTCAAGACCCCTTCAAAAGCTTAGCAACTAACCAGGATGTTATAGATGGAATATCAGCAGATTTTGGCTTCTTTTGCTTGATAAATGCTACTTAACCACATTTTTTTTCTGTTTTAATATCAAATACAACTGAGATAATGTTTAATTATATCCATGCAGATGGTTTATTATATAAGAGCTAATTACTTGGCCCACTTTAAAAGTACTGAACCGTGCAGAAAGCCTGAGCCTCAATCACTTTAAGATGGCAAGGAACTTAATATAAATTATTATTTCTTGCACATAGCTGAAAAAAACCATGCTGCCTCAATATTCTATGTGTGTATTAATTTCAGATGGTTTAACTATGATTCTTTTAACCTAGTATGTGAATATTTCTTCTGTTCTAGCTTCATTCTTGAAGTCAGCATAGCTCTCCACTGCTATCTGGCAATATTCTAAAGGCTTTTTATTGAAAGCTGAAGCAAAGTAAAATTTGTCAGCTGATCATTCAGAAAAACACTTTTATTTATTCCTAAGTGCTTAACTATTTATAATAGCCTTTTACGTTTTTAGTTTACTATTTAAAACATCTTACATATGTTACAAGTATTGCTTTCAGCTTCTGCATCCTAGATTTGAGGATTATATAAGCTTGTACACAACAGAAACTAATGGATGGCCGCAGCTGAGGAATTACAACATTCTTACCTGTTTCCCATACTAACTGAACTACTAGTTTTTTTTAATATGGTTCTAGAAACAAAAGGTGCAGAAAAAATATATCTCAAAAAGCAAAAGTATCAGTCAGGAATTATTTAAATTAGCGTTCTTAGTAAAGAAGCTAGATTTTTTTGTGAGTAAAGCACTCTCTCAAACCAACGAAAGGGAAAAATGCAGAAGATTTGATTGATAAATTGAGAAATTTTGATTGAGAAAATGATAAATTCATTGTGAGATACTCTGACAATGAATGAGCTAAGTGAAAGTCACCAGTAATTTAAAAGTGATTAAACATAATTCATCATCAGATGCAGAAAGCTCCCTTGCACTTGAGGGAGATGCTGAAACAATTTGTTCCCGGAGCAGCAGAGTGAGTAGAGTCCAGTTTGTAGCGCTTCTTGTCTGTGTTAATTCTTTGATGTCCAATGTAGAATAAGTTTATTAACCCTGTCCTCAACTCGGGCACAAATGCCATCCCTCTCCTCTCTTCTACCCAGCTGCCTAGTTTCATAAAGTTTTAAGGCATTTAACATACTTGAGCTGTCTCTTCTTTTGCCCAACTTGACTACAATTGGCCAATGGGTGCAGCAGTGATCAGGAGGTAGCTGATACATGGCTTGATCTCCCAGGGGAGCAGGCTGGCAATGATCATCCAGCGATTCTCAACAGAGCCTTTGGGGGAGGATGGATGGTCTTAGCACTTGGCACTGCCAAAAACATGTCAAAAATTCAGACCACAAAATTTAAGTGCTGAGGTTGCTAATGCTTGCCGCATACTGTAAAGGGACTAATTTTGAATTAAACCTCATGGATTTTCTGAGTTTCCTATCTTTAGGAAGCAAAGCTAAACCAGTTCAGAAAAACACTCTACTTTAGCAAATACAGGCTCCCTCAGGCATGTCCATTGATGCAATGCTTGCATGTTGGTTCTGAAAGTTACCTGGGCAGCTACAGCTGAACTGCGTCATATGCCCCTTACACCCCTAATCTCAGCAGGAAAGCTGTCTGCTTGTGCTACTACATATCCAAAACCAAAGCGGAATTATAAGATGTATAACTATTCTCTGGCTTGTTGAGATTATGTTATGTTTACAGAACTTGTAAATCAGATGGATAGCATACAGGAACATAACCCTAATGCCTACTAATTAAGCTACTCAAAGGTTGAATTCCTAGACTCTAGTTTCCAGGAATTCCACATTTTATCTAATCCCTGATGATGCTGGATACAGAAATAGTCCAGCAAGCCGTGGGTATCTCATCTCAAGAGATACGCACAAGCTTTGCTTTTTATGTTTTCTCCCCTTTCCATTGGCAAAAGAAAGAGTAAGAAGGAAATGGAAGGAAAGTGGAAAGGTGGTTTAGAAATAGAGAAAAAAATCAGAATAATATTTACTTTTCAGGTGTATAAATAGTTTTGAAAAACATACCCATAAAAACAGCAAAATATGTGGTTTTGGCAGGCTTATGAGATAAAATGATACTGATAAAAGTTGGTAGTTGTATTTTGCAATGGACCTGAAGTGTCCCTAAATAAACTAAGACTGAAATCCATAGTAAGGTGAATACTTGAGCGTCTGAGATAAAAATGCTACTTTCTCATTAACCAGATACAGTTTCATTATTGCTGGGCATCCCTAGTGAGTCCTTCAGCTTCTCCATTGTCTCATTCTGTAAACTGCTAAGCTAGAAGAATTATCCTAGATTCAATATCTTTTCTGTGGCTCTGTCTGTGTAAGCAGACATGAAAACTGCAGGAGACAACATGCTATAATAGAAATTTTCCTGAACTCCCTGCAGAGTTTGTGTTGTTCGTACTCTTTCATTCTCAAAGTAGAGAGGAGACAAAGCTTCCGGATGATAAAGAATAAAACAGGAACAAAGCTGGGTGAAGAAAAAGGGGAAAACAAGGTGAAGATAGACGTTAAAAATTATACTGCATATTATAGGATTCTGACTGTGTCTGATGACAGTATTCATGTACAAAATAAGTCTTTACTGTTATCAGTGGGAATATCTGCTCTAATATATATCTGCTATGTTATGCTCTCTCCGTTAGGTGCAAGATAAAATTAAAATTGTTGTGATTTTAGGTTTTAAAGTGCACTAATTACTGCCCATATACCATTCGTCATGTGCCAATTTATAACAATAAAGTTCCTCTTCTAAACTTTAAGTAGAGCAAATTGACATGATGATACCCTAAATAAATAATTTAGCTGCTATTTTTCTAACATAAGACTATATACTTTTGATTATTTACAACAGGAGTCCCAGCACATTTTCGCATAAGTTGAGCTCAGCAGAACAAAAACTAAGCAGGTATATTGCTGAGATTAATAAAAGCTGGACAAGCGTGCTTTCTAAGAAATAAGGGACTGTGTATCTGTATAGCACAGAAAGGGAGGATTGCAATGTGGGCGCTGAGAGGAGGAAACTGAGAAGCAGGCTGCTGTATTGAAAACTGAGGAGGAGAATGGTTATATAACTGCAAAGAAAGACAAGGTGCTGCCTACAAGCAATATATAAGATGAAATCCTTTGGGGAGAATAGGTGATAGTCAGAGACAAACAGGAAAAGAGAAGTATATCTACATACACCCATGTACACACATCAAATAACTTTTCTTGTTTGATTTTGCAATCTAACTGGTTAGTGTTTGTACAGACCCTCTTATGTTGTATATCCTAGCTTCTCCATCCTCTCTTCTTTTAGGTTTCTTATGTCTCATCTTTTTATTCTTGGACGCTACAGTGAGCTAACCTGTAGGAAATTAAACTGTCTTGGTTTTAAAAAACTAGAAGGACATGACTGCATACTTGAAAGGAACTTAGTCTATCCCCAGCAATCATAAATCTACCGCTCAGAGAGCCACGGTTAAACCTATAACATACATAACATACCTACCCTTTGAGAGGTAGAGCCCATTGGCTTCTGAGGTGCTTGTTTGGAAATATTTGCCATGGTGTGTTCCGTGCAATAGTCACGAACGTATCCTTCTTATCTTAAGATTGTTGAAGAAGACTGACGTTTATTTTATGATTCAATATAGTACAGTGCAGACAAAGTACAATGGGGGCCCTTTATATGTGACTATAATGTAAATGGCACATAAAACAAATAAACCTTACAAGCTAGGGGAGACTATAATGGGCCACTGATTGTAAGATCCACCATTGCTTCTTAATCCCAGTTTAGGTTGTAATTAAGGAGTTGTTAATCTTGCAGGTATTAAGTTCGTATAAAGTATTAAGGCATTTACAAAGTTAACAATTCCACTATATTATCAGTTGGTGACAAATATTAGTTGTCAATCAGACCAGTAGACTGTGGAAATTTGTATGTTGTGATGATAGGGAAAAGGGTATATCTGCACCTTTATCTCTACCTCTACAGACTTGTAAGTGCTTGGACACTTACAGACAAAATGCTTACCTCTAATGGAGGGAACATAGGTATGTCCTGCTACAACCAGCGGAAGGCAAACCCTTTACCCTTCTGGCAACAAAGTTCTTAGTTAAAGGATTACATACAGGATCCTAATACCAGGTCTGTCTTAATGAATGACAGACAGCTCAGCTTAGTACTCAGCTTAGTTTCTACCCGAAAGCCCCATAAAGCTTCAGTCCTTCAGCTTGTCCATCCCCTTGCTGTGCCTCTCTGGTCATCAGGAGCTGTCTAATTTTCTCTTGCTTCTACCATCCAGGTGGAGTACATCAGAGGAGGATTCCTACATAATCTTGATGGCACACTCAAAGGGTCTCTGCTGCCTTCTATGCAAACATAGGTCATCACACATTAAAATAAAGTACAGTGCTGACAGGCTCTGAAAATTGTCTCATTTCACCCATACTGGCCAAATAAAAGCTAAGCAGGAAGTGAAAGAAGAAAGTCCCCTCCCACCCCACCTGAAGGATTGTTATTACAGTCTTTGATTATGAAACTGCAAGGATCGGAGGGATTTCTTTGCAGATGGCTTTACAGATTGCCATCAACTATTCTCTAAAGAACTTTTCTGTTTTTTTCCAAGATTGTTTTGAAAGAGAAGGGAGGAGATAATTTCTAAATTTCATGTTTTGTCTTGACTGTAGCTTCAAAAAGGTATCATCTGACTGCAGATTAGTATTGCTGCTGATCACAGTAACTATAAAAAAATCAAGTCAATTGTCTTTAGACTGGGAGCATCTCCATCACTAAATACACAAAATTCATGTTGATGTTTTGACTTTATTTAGTGATGGAAAACTGCTTAGGTGGGGAATCTGTAACATTTTCTGGAAGTGAATGAAGAATCACATTTAAATCACTAAAAGAAAAATAGGAAGTAAATATTAGAGAGGTGAAAAGGACAGCTGAAAAGGGAGCTGAACTTGATAGACCTAGGCTGACTAATACGGGACAGACAATGCAATTTTATCAAACAAATCAGGATTAGCAAAGTACTTGCATATATGCTAATTGAAGTGCATACTTAAGCCCCATAAAAATCAATTAAACTTAAGCACTCATTTAAATCTCTTTCTTTAATGAAGCTGTAAGAATCATGGAATATTATTTTGTTTAGAAATAATACAAAATACAGTGCATGCCTAGTAGTATTAAGAAAAGTGCTAAGGAATGAAAAAAAAATGTAATTACACAGGAAAGATTACATCTGCTGCTCAAAATTCTGAGAACAGCTCTCATGAATGAACTCAGCCTTACTAAAGCATAGCCAAGTTTGCAGAACTGAAAAGCTGTATTTAGCCGTTCCTTTTAGCTTTACACATTTATATTAAAGTAAATATCATCTTGATTCAGTGCATTGCTAACAGCAGCAAAATTCTTAATCATTGCAAGGGTGCAGGAGCAGTAGACCTTTTGGAGATGAATGAAAACTGAGGATGGATATAACAAAATGCAGTTTATGACTGGACACTGTTTCCCCAGAACAAAAAGGCATCAATTTCATTACAAGCAAATATAAAGTACCTAAGACCTGACCTAATGGTCACTGAAGTCACTGGACTTCAGATATTTTTGTTTAAAGGTCGTGATGGGGAAGCCCTATAAAAAATTGTCTTACTCGCTTAAACCCTGAGTATAGTTTGGGACCCCATGCAAAAAACACCCAAGTACACATTTCATCACTGAGACCCAATGAAGTTAATTATTTATATTTATATTTATATATTACTTATATCATATATGTTATTATACTTTTATATAAAAGTATAAAAGGGGACAAAGTGTGCATGTGTGTGTGCACGAGGGTGGGATGGGGGAGTTGTGCTGTTTGTAGTTTGTTGCTGCTAACGTAGTTGCATGTTTTGCCATCAGTTGCCTAAATAATTGGTAAGGCTTAGTTCCTTTGGCTGTATGCTCAATGCATTCGCTGCAGAGAGATCCCCGGCCCCACACCACCACGGTACAGAATGGCTCGGGTCCACACTATTTGGGAACTTCTGAAATAGGCTGGCTGCATCCATATTAAAAACCCTTGGTTTGCTCAAGAACCTACATGGTGTCCTTCTTGATTGTACACGTAATTGTGGTATTTCCTAGCTCAAAGTTTCTGAAAAATATGCAGGTCATGTTTCATATATTTTTATAGCGTGAAATAAGCCATGTATTACCCGGCAAAGGGACACACAAGGTTACTTGAGGCTGCAAAGCCTTTCGGGAGTGCCTTGGAAGAAGGTAATGCAGGAGTCAAAGCTGGTGCAGGCTCATCCATGCAGTCTTTGGTGAATGGTTTTTGGAGTGGATTGTCCTTAGAACTGCCCCTTGTTTTGCAGGGAACTAAATGTTTCAGTCAAGTGTTGATGATCAGGGAATCAAGAACCAGAAGAGAATTGGGGGACTAAGATATTTGGTAGTTTTGAAGTTCCCTTTGAGAAAGATAATGAATGCACAGTTCTCTAATCATTAACTTTGGTCTAATAGCTCACTGCAAAAAATATAAAAAATATGTTGTGAAAAATGTTTATATTTTGTGAAAGATGACAATCTGAATCTGATTACTTTTCTTCATTCAACTGTTATCCTATAAAATTCCTTTTGTTTTAGAGTCTCTCCCTCGAACTAAAAATAAATGCATTTAAAAGTCATTTCCGTCTCCTGTTATCACAGCCTTTTTTAACAAGAAATATTTCAAATAATTTCAGTTCAATGACTTGCTCTCAATTAATTCTTATTCTTTGCATCTTTCCTTTAACATCAGTCACATTATTTGGAATTAACCACCTAAACAGCACATAGATTCTAGGTGTTGACTTCATCCGTTGTGTAATAAACTGTAACCGTGTAATATTTATCTCATTTTTGAGAAGCTAAAAAAATGAATTCATTCACACAAATAGGTATGAGAAGCAGAAATTGAGACTGGTGTTAGGAGATTCTCCCTTGACACTTGATTCATAGGCATAGGAACGTGCTCCCCAGTGACCTATGAAGAGATGTAATAAAGGTGCTAGAAGCCTAAAAAATTGTGCCCTGCAGCTCTTAGGCATCAGAGCCCTGTCAGTGATACCCGAACTTCCCATAAAATGAGAGTGGGGAACTAGGCACATCAAAACAGGCTACAAAGTGAGGTGAAACAAACTTCATACTAAGTTTCTTGACCTCAGTAGGCTTTAGGTATGAGTCATGCTGAGGTACTTCACCTTGTCAAGACTGATGCTTCTGGGCATGCAAAGAAATAGGGTATTATGGGGACATAATGAAGGTATTGCTAGCCAAAGAGAAAGGATGTTAGTCAGGTTGAGATGCCTTGGTGTTTAAAAGCCAGCTGAAGAGGAATTTGCTGTGATTAGAATTTCTTGCTGTCCTCCACATACTCGGTTAGGAGAAAAATGGCTAAAGAAAAAGCATTGTGACCTTTCAGGAAAGAAGCAGCATGACTGAGGATCTTGCAGAATTTAGATCACATAAAAGGGTACCGAGATTCTTTTAACTGCATACTACGGGTGCAGGAACACAATTGACACCAGTCTTTGATATTGTATTTCACCGTTGTATAAAGAAAAAATTAAGTAAAACAAATTATCCTTCAGGCTCAGGAACTTTTTAAATATTGATGCTTCCTGCCATAATAGAAATGTAATCTTATTAAAAGTTGGCATTATTTTGTCAATTGAGTAAAAGTATTGTTAATCAAGTCCTTACAGAGCGAATTTAATTCACATGTTAAAAGTTAGTGAGGGTCCTTTTCCTAAAAGAATCTGTTATTATCAAATTGACTATTTTGGCAGAACAAGGCCCCACCAGGGAATAAAAATGATTTGTTTTATAAAGGGAAGTTCTGCTCTAGTTACTCCAGAAATATCTAGAAAGTACTAGAGCAATATACCAAATGATCTATTTTAGAAACTGTCACTACCTTTTTTTATATACTAGATACTATAAAAATTTTCAAGAGTTAATTGATTTGTTCCAGCAGAGATCTCAAATAAGTTATATTTGTCCAAAAGTCTATAAATCGCAGTTTTAGTGCAAAAAGTATTATACATTAAGTAGCCCCTTGTGAACTGTCATGCTATTATGAACTGTTTGAAAACTGTGGTTTCAGTTGATTAAATCCTCAGAAAAATGAACCAGTGCTTGAAAAGCTTAAAAAAATAATGGAAAAAAAAGTTGCGTGTTCAGCTAGACCTTCACTGTAGCCAAAAAAGAGACAGAGGTTTCTTTATTTGCTTATTCAAACACTTCAGGGGACTTTACAGGCCCAAAGCCAAGAATGGTTCAAGAACAAATAGGGTAATAAGGATGTAAGTTGTGTATGATTTTATTCAGTTTCCAACCTTGTTACCAGTTCTGACACAAGCAAAATGTCTGTATTTCAGATTAATGCAAAACTGCAAAAAAAGGACAATAGATTTAATTAGGTGACTCAGGATAAAGCTCCTTGAGCAATTGGTATCAGTTTTGGATAACAGGCAGATTATAATGTGGGTTACCATAAACCCTATACTTCTTAATCATTAACATGCATTTTGACATTGTAATTTTCCTTAACAAAAGCTTAGCTTTGTTTTTGCTAACTTAGATTAATGTTCGTGAGATCTCGGTACAGAAGATAAAAATTCCACCTTTGAAAAGGATGAACTTTAAAGTTTTTTATGAGATATATTTAAGAATTAGATAGTAAAAACTTACTGATTCACATACAACAATCCAGGTGAGTTTCATCAGACTGAATTTGGCCTGTTGCTATTGACTAATACCCTAAATATGTTTGGCTTTGCAACATACACTTTGGAGTTTACTGTCTAATAGGGACAGAAAAATAATTTGAAACTAATTAACATTTTGAAAGCATTTATGTATTCCATCTGCTTTGGTTGTATAAAGCAAGTTAAAAAACAGTATGTAGTGTAAGAATTTAGTTGTCTGAATCAGCCATAAAGCTGCAAAAATTTAATTTTTTATTAAATCTTTCAGCACAACAGTAATTCTGCATATCATTTTCTTCATGTATCCTTAAAAAGTTTTGCAAAGGATGACAAGCATGCAGTTATCGTCTCTGAAGACAACAACTAATAGAAAATAAACAGGGCAACAAACTTTGCTTTTAAATTAAATGGCTCCCACTAAGTAATATATAAGATGATAGATAGATAGAGAATATATTCCTTTTGCTTTCTGAGATTGGCAGCCCATTCAGAAATAGCATTTTGAGGACACTCTGCTAGTGCTGTTTTCTGATAGGACTGCATGTAGGAGATATGGAAATAAATACTGATATCTCTGACTACAGTCAATAATTTTGCAGCAACAAAGGGTGAAAAAAAACATCAAAATATAATAACGAATAGATTTACTCGCTAATATTAGATCCAATTTCCCTGAAACGTAATAGCATGCCGCATGCACAAGACTTCCACATTAGTTTCCCACCGGTAAAGCCATGCTGCCTTGTTTATATATGTAAAAAAAAAAAATTTATACTTAGATGCCCTCAGTCCTCTATTTCAACCAGAATCTAGATGGTCATCTGTACTTCTCCAATTTACATAATGATTTTCACAGGATTCAGTAGTAGTGGCAACTATGTGCTGTATTTGTAGGTTATTTTCAGATCCCATTTGTTGACTTTTAAGAGAACCCATATCTACCTGTGTATGAAACTGCAAATTCCTCACATCAGCATCCACAGTTCACAGGCACTATCTGCTGAGTAAATCAGTTAGGAAATGCAGTTTTCCAAAAATGCTTAATTTGGATATTAAGATATTTTAGAGAGTCCGGTTGCTTTTAGGCAGCTCACAGGATATTCTCAGACAAAACAGGTAAGGCTTTCACTGGAGTATGATGAAATCTGACCAAATATTTGTCAGTCATTTAAAAATTTGTGTGATTTGCTTAATTATATGCACTTTTATAAGTTAATTATGTTAAATTCTTTTTATAATAAATACTTCCCACTTTAACAATGCAGAATAACCACATAAAACTGTTTAAAATCAATACTGAGCTTAGTGCGTCAGAGGGATTATTGGTTCCTTACTATGATTTAATACTCCAGCACAATTGTTTTCCAATACATTGTATGAATTATTTTAAAGCAAAGCTTCGGAGACTTTTCTACTGTAGGAAGCCTCTTGCAAATTCATTCTGTTTTGACCGAACAACAGAAAATCAGCAGGGGCTGACTAAAAAACAGCAAAAACAAAACAAAAAAAACCCTTTATCTCTAGAAGACTCAAACACAGACTTCTTGTTGGATGGAAAGGATTTTTCCATTATGTAGAAAAAAACGATGAATAAAGGAGAAAATGTAAGTAATTAACAGCTAATTTCACTCTACAATAACAAGAATTCCTCTTAATTATTTTAACCAGAAAATAATAATCAAAATTTCAGAATTTAGAGAAATAAACTACTTTTTCTGGTACTGTTTTCTATTTCCTACAATAAAACACCTCACTGTAACTGTGTCACTTAAACATTTATATAGGGAAGAAAATCCTCTGAGTCTGTTTATGCATAGTCTAATTAACTCTTGAAAATACCAGCATCTTCATACACACAACTGATGTGTGAAAGTCTAGCAGTTAAAGGAAGAGGGGGGGAAAAAGCCTGGATAGTCCACCTTCACTGTCAATTTTTGTAATCAGGTAGTAATAAGGAAGCTGAAAAGTTATGTCCAGAATAGAAGTTAACTGAAGAAACAGGACAACAGTTGTTAGGACTGAAGGAATATTATATCACAGTAAGTAGATTTCCAGTGTGCAACAAATCGACCAAAGCAAAGAATGCAAAATAATGATCAAGGTAAGGAATTCTGAACTTCATTATGAGCTAGCACATTGACTATTAATGTCTTTTTTGGTAGGTTTATTCTTCAAGATGAAATCAAACTGGGTAGACCACTAGATTTCCTTCAAAAAGCCCCATAAATAATTTCTAGAAAACCCTCCTTAAAGCTTTGCACAAAAACACATGGAAAAAAACAT